CGTGGCCCTGCTGCTGGCAAGACATCTGGGCAAGGGCAGCTAGGGACGCTGCGCCAGCTGTGCTGGGCTCGTGTGACGCAGGAGCTCTCAGCCCTGCCCCATGGTCTGTGCCCTCCCTGTCTCATGGCCTGTGTCATCCCTGCCCCATAGCCTGTGCCAGCCCAGCCCCACTGCTGCCCTTCTGCTCTCAGCCCCAGCAGCTGCAGTGCCTCCCATGGCTCCCCACCCTGCCCCACAGGACACTGCACATCCCTCCATGTCCTGTCCTGCTGCTGCAGCTGGAGTCAAGTCCCAGCTGGTGAGCTGGTGCCTGTGTCAGCTCTGGGCTCTGTTTTTGCCCCGTGCTGGTGGCAGGGCCCTGGCCTGTCTGGATGGAGATGAACAGGAGCACTCCATCCTGCCAAGGTGCTGCAGGAGGTGTTGCCCCTGGGCTCCTGGGGCTGTCAGGACAGTGTGGTGAGGGCACATTGTGATGCCAACCTGCTGCTACGATATTTGGCACACAGCCCTTCTGTCCTGCTGCACCTCCATCGTCTTGGGGTTTCTCCTGCCCCAGCTCTTCATTTCCCTGGGAGCTGCTTGTCCCTGTGCCTCAAGCCCTCAGTGTGGGGTGTCCCATCCTGGTGGGATGTGCACGGGCAGGCTGTTGGCAGTGCCCAGGGATCACAGCAGGCAGTGCAATGTGCTGACCAGCATCTCCAGAGCACAGCTGCCCTCCCTGCCCATGTGGCACGCTGCCAGGCTGCCCGCTCCCTGCCCTCAGGAGGTTTCCCAGTGACTCCAGCACGTGTCTCGCTCCTGGGAGGTTTGACCGCTGCTGGTAATAGGACAGGCAAGGGCTGTTGGGCCAGCAGCCAGGATTCCTGCCCTGGGAATGTCTGTGAGAATGGTTCCCCCCACCCAGGCTCTGTGCAGAGGGGTCTGGGACATTGTCAGGAGTCTCTGCAGGGGTACAGGACCCTTTGCAGGGATGATTCTTGGCTTGGCCGCTCTCCGTCGTCATTCCTGGGCAGCCTCTTGCAGTTAAGTGGGGCACTGATGCTCTGCCTGGCCTGCTGCCAGCATCCTGCCTGCTACTCCGACTCAGGGGCCACTTGCAGTTGATCCCCCACTCCACGGCCAGGGAAAAGTGTCGGTCTTCCTCTTTCCCCATGCCCTCATACTGCCTGCAGCACGACTACAAGCAATGCAAGGGCATGGATGATGCCCAAACAGTGCCAGACCTCTCTCCTTTGGACACACTGCACCACATACCCCAGTCAGGGGCGTTTTGGCCAGGGTTAATGCCAGTGCTCTGCTGGGAGATCAAGCCCCTCAGTCTCCTCTGCCTCAGAGACACTCTCAGTTTCCCCCACATGCTGGTGGGACCCTGTGCACAGGATAAGCCAATGCAGTCTTGATAGCGTAGCCCCCTGTGCTGCCGTCAAATCCCAACCCCTGAAATGGAGCCATAATCCAGGGATTAGGGGATTAGTGGTCTTTCACGTGCTCCCTCCCCCGCATCTGTTTTAGTAGGAAAATCCCTCTTGTGCCGAGCCCACGCGCTGTGGCCTCCTGCAAAAAACCACCCTGTGGTGCTTGGCACTCACCATGGCCGGCTGGACCCTGGCCTGCTGCCCTTCTGGCCAGCCACAGCCCCCTTGGGGGGATTGGGGGTGCCCTCTGACCCCCCAGGCCAGCATGGGATGGTGGTTTAGTCCAGTGAATCCTGTCTGCAGCCCCTTCCTTCCAGTCCCAACCCTTGGGAGTGGGCCAGCCCTTGCTCAGGGCTGAGGGGTGCAGGTGTGAGGGGCTGGTGCTGCTGCAGCTGGATGGGGCAGCCCCATGTGGTGACTGCCATGCAGAGTCCTGGGCAGGGGCTGCCCACCCTGAGCTGCCCACCCTGAACTGCCCATCCTCCCTGCATCCCTCCTGTGCCACTCTCCATGGAGCTGGGGCTGTGCTGCTGCAGCTCCCCGGGGATGCCAGGTGCCAGGTCCTGGCAGGCAGGGATCAGTGCTGCCTGCAGGGCTGGGGTGAGGGGTCTGAGCCTCTCTCCTGGCCGCGAGGTCAGGCCGGGGAGCACCCGCGCTGCGGAGCAGCTGGCTCCACACCAGGAGAAAGTAAACAATTAATTACAGCCGTCAAGAAGTAACGGAGGCCAGCGGGCTGTCATGATCTCAGCCTGTGCTGGAGGAGATGCCGGGAGCTGCAGCCAGCTCCGGTCGGGGGATCCTCCCGAATTAAGTGCATGAGAGAGCAGGGGGCTTCAGGCAGCCTTGCAGGGTCCCTCTACAGCCCCAGCTCGAGAGTGGCCTGCGCCCCTGGCCCTGTGGGTGACAGCTGCAAGAGCTGGGGCCTCCATAGACGGCACAGGGCCTGGGGATTCTGGCCCCATTGCAACACTCATCCAGGTCTGAGAAGGTTGCTATGGGTGCGATCTTGGTCCCCTGGTCACCAGGGGAGGTGACATTAAGCCTGTTTCCCTCTGCAGGCAGCGTTCCCTGCGCTGCAGGTCAGCTGGGCACAGCAGGGTCAATCACCTCTGCTGTCCTGCCAGTGGCGAGGTCTGGACGTGTCCCCCTTCCCCGGGTGCCCTGGGTCGTTCTGCTACTGGGGCAGGGGTCTCCATCCACGGCCGAGGCCGTGATGCCCGCAGAGGGGTCCCCTGCATGCCGTGCTGCTGCCCAACCGGGAGCCGCCCCCGCCCGGTAGCGGCCCGTGGCGGGACAGGGGCTGCCGTGATCCCGGGCCTCAGCCGCCTCTCATGTGCCGGTCCCGCAGGCACAGGTTCTGCCCCTCTGTGCACCCCGAGTGTGTTCCAGGTCCCGAGGCTGCGCCGGGGTCCGGGCCGGGAGCTGGTGTGGGGTGCGGGGGTGGCGGCGGCTGCGGGGCCGGTGCCGGTGCGGAGTGCGGGGGCTGGGGGCGGGGTTCGGGGTCGGTGCGGTTGCGGGGCCGTCCCGTCCCGTCCCGCCCGCCCCAGCCGGGCCCGCAGCGCTGCCCTAGTTCCCCCCCACGCCTGGCGCAGCCGGGAGGCGGCCCCGCTCCGCTCGCTCCTCTCGGTGCCCCCCCGCGCCGCCGCGCCCCCCCCTCCCCGCCGCGGCGGGGGCAATGCCTCCCGCATACGTGATGAAGCGGGCGGCCGGGCTGGGCTCCGCCGGCAGCAGCCGTGAGCCGTGAGCCCGGGCGCCTCCGCACTGCAGCCCCCTCCCACCGGCGCGGGGGGCGGCGCGGGGACGCGGCTGCTGCGGAGCGAGAGCTCCAGCTCCGGCGGCAGCGAGCGGCCGCGGCACCGGCGCCATGCTGAACAACCTGACCGACTGCGAGGACGGCGACGGCGGCGCCAGCCAAGGTGAGGCACCGGCATCGGCACCGACGAGCGGGACAGCGGCACGGCCCGGGGCGGCGGGGCCGGGCGCGGGCGCGGGGCAGGAGCGGCGCGGGGCCGGGGGCAGCGGGGGCTGAGGGTGCCGCGCCGCGGGGCGAGCGGGAGGCACCGGCACCGACACCGGCCGCGACGGCGGCTCTCGGCCGGCGGCCCCGCGGGGCTGCGGCGGGCGGTGCGGGGATGCTCCCGCTCCCGGCGCCTCCGCGCAGCCCCGGCCGCACTCCCTCCGCTGCGGCAGCCCCGGGAAGCGGCGGTGCGGCCGAGCGGTGCGGGGCTCACCGAGGAGCCTCCTCCCGGGCGGGGGCTGCTCGCTGTGCTCCGAGCGACCCTGCGGGGCTGGCTTTGCCGCTTTCCGGACAGCCCCCGCCGGTCGCCGCACCGGTCCCGCTCCCGCCCGCCCGGGATCCCCGCACCTATCTGCCGGCCCCCCACCCCTGCCTCCCGCATCTCCGCTGCAGCTCCCCCAGCCCTCCCTGCTGCCGCCCCCCACCTCCGGCTGCCGCCCCCCCATCTCTCCATATCGCCTCTCTCACCCCCGCTGCCCTCCCCCCATTCCTCTCCTCTGCCGCCCCCCATCTCCGGCAGCCGCCTCCCCATCCCGGGCAGCCGCCCCCCGCTCCCTTCTCCGCTCCCGCCCCCCACTCCCTGCCCCCCCCCCGGGGCCGCTCCGCTGTCCGCGGTGCTGAAGTGGCCGCCCGGGCCCTGCTCTGCGCCCACAGGAGCGGCTCGTCCCGGGGCCGAGGGCAGCCGAGCCGGAGCGAGCCCAGCTGAGCCAAAGTGAGCCCTGTCGTGCCAAGCCGAGCCGGTCCGGTGCAGTCCGTGGCGCGCCGCGCTGTGCCCCGTCCCGCTGCAGCCCTGGCGCAGGGCCGCTGTCCTCCGCCGGCGAGGGGCCGCTCGGCCCCGCAGCAGCCCCGCCACTGTTCCCGCTTTGGCCTCAGCCCCTCCCGGCACTACCGAGCTGTGTGAGGGTCCCCGTTCCTCACGGGGCCACTTCCAGCACCAGGCAGCACAGGCCCCGTTCTGTGGGTGTTCCTGCCGGGTGCAAGGGTGGGCTGTAGCCAGGGGGATGCAGTGTGGGCACAGGAGGACTTGCACTGCCCCTCTGACCCTCCCAGACACCGCCAAGTCTCCTCTCCAGGTCCCCTGGTGGGGTCTGCCACAGCCCCGGCCGGCAGCGCATGGCTGGCAGTGACAGTGGTTGTGGGGTCCTGGCTCCCTACAGTGGGGCTCTGGGCACAGCCACAGACAGGCTCTGTGTATTCCTCTGCTCTGCCGACCCCAGTCTGTTTATTTGCTTGTTTATTTGCGGCTCCGCTCAAGGTCAGGGCTGGCAGGAGACTTTTGGGGGCACCTTGCCGGGCTGGGGTTGTCGCACTGGCCCCCAGCCGTGCCCTTCGCTGGGCACTTGCCCTCCCCTTGCCCTCTGCAGCACCAGGATCTCTCCCACTCCCTGATTTCCATCGCGGCAGTGCCAGCGGCGTGGCAGCAGGCGGTGCAGCCATGCTGGGGTCTGGCAGGAGGGCTGGACACGGTGCCACTACAGATGGACCGGGCAGACTGTCCCTGGAGCTGCGCCTGCCGAGATGCTGCCCTGGGGGACAGCGTGAAGGGCTGGAGGAATCGGGGGCCTGGGGGACTTGGGGGAGCAGGGATTGTCTGTAGGAAGGGGCTCAGCAGAACTCCCCACACCTGTGACAATGGTGGTTGCAGTGGGGGGGGGGGGTTGTCCCCCCATGCCAAGGGTCAGCTGAACTCCCATCGTGAGCTCTGTCTGCAGGGACCATGGAAAACCCGTCGGGTAGCAAAGCTGTTGAATGCCAGTGGGCCCCCTCCACATGTCCTGGCTGCTCCAGGGCCAGCTGTCCAGCAACTTGCCAAGCTCAGCGCGACCACTGAAGCCCTGGGTGCCACTTAGGCCTTATTTGTCAGAGAGGTCAGCAGTGTCCCCACTCGGGTCGTGCTCTGGACAGCACACGTGAGACGCATGACAGTGGCAGGAAGGGCTCCAGCCCCAGCAGCCCAGCAAGGGCTGGACCCTCTGGGGAGATGCTGGGAGTGGGGAGCAGGCAGGGCAGGGCTGCTGCCTGCAGTCTCCAGGCTGGCACCTTGAATTGCACTGCTCTGGTTGGGGTGTTGTGATGTCAGCCGCAGCCCCACTGCAGGGTGCCATGCTGACACCCAGCCCCGTGGCACTGGGATGCCTGGGGAGCCCAGATCCAGCACCAGGAGCTTTGCTGGAACTTGTGTCCACGGCCATTTCCAAGGCAGGGCTTGGACTGTCGGAGAATCTGGGAAGCTGTTTAAATGCAGCCAGCCAAAACGCCTGTGCTGGAAATCCTGCGCTGCAGGGCCGGCTGATCAAAGGGAGGATAATCCTGGGTTTAGGAAGGAAGAGGATAGGTCTGAAGTAGCAGTTGGTCTAATTTGGGTCAGGCTGTGAAGGAATCCAGCCCAAAAGGCCACTGGGTGTGCTTGCTGGCTGGAGGGGGAAAACGCAGCCCTGGCATGGGGGGAGCATCCTACTCCACCATCCACCCCTGACCCCCACCCCTGCTCCCCTGACACGCTGCAGCTGGAGTGGCTCTGCTGTGACGCTGCCAGCACTGCTCTGATCATCAGTGGTCTGTGCCTCGGGGGGGCTGCAAGGGCTGTGTGGCCTCTCCAAGAGTCCCCCTCCCCAGAGCAGCTGTCAGACACTCCTGTGCAGGGTAGAAGGAAGCCGGGTGGACACAGAGATACCACTGCCATAGGAATACTTTGGCCATCCCCATCTGCCTTAGGCACCCCAGGCCAACAGCCCAGGGCCAGGCAGTGTGTGTCCAGCCAAGTCCCCTTGATAGCCGGAGGTGACAGAACAGCAGTGTGGCCTCCCTGGCCAGCAGCTCCTGCAAAACGGCAGCAGCTGGGGACATCAGCCAGGGCCACGTGCTCGCCCATGTGCTCNGCTGGTCTGGGTGTGAGCGTGGTGCCCACAGCCCTGGCAGCTCTGCTGGCAGCCCCGGGCAGCTGTGGCCCCTCACAGCAGTGACCGTGTGGGGTGGATGTTCTGCAGGTGTGGGTGGGGCAGGGGCTGCCTGACTGACTCGGTGCTGTCTCTGCAGGCGATGGCAATCCCAAGGAGAGCAGCCCCTTCATTAACAGCACGGACCTGGAGAAGGGGAAGGAGTACGATGGCAAGAACATGGCCCTCTTCGAGGTAGGGCATGCAGGAAGTGGGGCAGGGGAGGGAGCTGAGCTAAGCAGCTGTCCCAAGCTGTCCCACAGCACCCAGCCTGCACCCTGGGCACTGGGACATGCCAGAGGCCCAGGCCAGGGCTGCTGCACTGCCAAAGCCATTCCTGGAGGGGCAGGCAGTGGGGCAGCATCTGGTGAGGTCTCCTGGGGCTGGCTGGGGTCCCAGGGGACTGTTCTCACAACCTGGGATCTGCTCTCCACAGGAGGAGATGGACACCAGCCCTATGGTCTCATCCCTGCTGAGTGGACTGGCCAATTACACCAACCTGCCACAGGGCAGCCGGGAGCACGAGGAGGCTGAGAACAATGATGGAGGCAAGAAGAAGCCGGTGCAGGTGAGGACCTAAGGGGGAGGTAACCTTCCCTCCCTCTGAGGCCCTTGCCTGTGTTGTGCCAGGCCCTAGACCTGGCACAGGAGAACAGGAGACCCATTGGCATCAGCCAGGGGCAGTTTTACCCTGGGTTCCTGGGAAAAATCCTGGGAAGACTGGGATTTCTTGCTCCTCTGCCAGCCAGGCCCCTGAGCCCTGGTGACTGCTGTTCTCTCAACAGGCCCCACGGATGGGCACCTTCATGGGTGTCTACCTGCCCTGCCTTCAGAACATCTTCGGAGTCATCCTCTTTTTGCGCCTCACCTGGGTGGTGGGGATCGCTGGCATCATGGAGTCATTCTGCATGGTCTTCCTCTGCTGCTCCTGTGTGAGTTTTGAAGCCAGATAAGCCTTCACTAGCCTTGCCCATGGCCTGGGGTCACCAGTCTGGCTGGCTGGACCATGGAGAGGTGCACTGGCTGCTAGCCCACCATGCCCTGCCCCAGCTCTGCCCCTGCCCTAGCTCCTGCCCCACTTAGAGCAAGGAGAAGCCTTCAGCTTCCCAGAGGAATCAGCAGTGGAATGGTGCTTAAATGGTGACCCAGATCACAGCTGCCATGCAGGGGGATGTGCTGGGGGTCCCCTGATCTGGTACCAAACAGAGAGCCACCTCACCAGGACAGTCACCCCAGGCAGAGCCTGGGAAGGCTGGCCTTGTCCAGTGTCCTGAGCCACCCCAGCACTGCCAGCCCCTCCAAGGGCTCAGCTGTGTCAGCTGTGCTGCCAGCCAACATCCTGCCTGTCCATCTACACACACATCTATCCACTCATCCTCCCTGGGCATCCCTGCCCTGTGGCACATCTCAGCGTGGCCCCAAGAGGCCCCATGTCCTGGCATGGCCCCAGCTTTCCCTTCCCTCCCCTGTCCCTCTGCTCCTGAACTCGCTGTGTTTCTTCCCGCAGACGATGCTGACAGCCATTTCCATGAGCGCGATCGCCACCAACGGTGTGGTGCCAGGTACAGCCGAGCCCCGCGGTGTGCGCGGGCAGCAGGGTGGGGTTCCTGNCAGCACGTCTCCCTGCCAAGCTGCCCGTGTCCCCCGGTGCCACCCAGCCCCAAGGGGGAGGGGAGATCGAGCCACCCCTGCTCCTGCACCCTTCTGTCACCTCACTGGGGATGGCCACAGCACCAGCCTGGAGGGTGTCTTGTCAGCGTGGTGGATGTTTCACATCAGTGTGGTCCCCAGGGCTGGTGCAGGTGGGCAGGAGCTGTGGCGAGTGGGTGGTTGCCAGCCCACACCACTGCTGTTACCTAATGACAGCAGGGTTCAGTGGGGCTTTAGACCAAACACAGAGCAAGGAGCGCATGAGGTTTGTGATGAGACCCATTGTGGGAGATGCAGGGCAGGCACATGGCACTGGGGTGCTGGGTGAGTGTCCAATGGGACTCTGGAGAGGAGCTTGTGGGTCAGGGTGTCCCAGTGGCACTGCCATGGCCACTCCTGCACCGGAGGAGCCTGCAGGCTGTGCCTCAGTGTTTGGCTGTGCCCTCAGGGACATTGCTGCCCCGTGCTGGGGGAGCCCGGGGATGGTGGGAGTTGGGGCCAGCCCGCAGGTTCGTGTCACCTGTAGCATTTGAGGCTTCACCTCCTGGTCAGCCAGGAGCACCCTGTGTGCCAGGGAATTGCAGATGGTGAATCACTGCTGCACACGGGCTTCCAGGATCCCGAATATGAGTCAACTGGCAGGAGAATGGCGGTCTTCAGAGGACCAGGATGCTCCAAGCGGTCGCAGGGTTTGTCTTGTGGCTGCCACCATGAGTGGGTGACTACACTGCCAGGGCACCATCCTTCTGCCCCAGGGCACTCATGGGCTCCATGCTGGAGGATGGTGGAGGGGGCAGTTCTCTCCCATGTCCCAAAGCCTGGAGCTGGTCTGTGACCCTGCCTGTGTGGGCAACCTGCCCAGCAGTGCGGTGGCCACTGGCAGTGTGACTGCTCTGGCTGCAGGGCTCTGCTGCTGGGATGGGTAGGTGGCAGGGAGCCTGTCTTCCCCCACTGAGGGCTGGGACTGGCCTGGCTGCCCAGGTTTCCCCATGCCATGGGTGCCTCCTCATCTGCTCTGCCCAGGACTGTGTCCTGTGGCTCCTGGCCCCCATGTCCTGGTCCCTCTCTGCTCTGGATCTTCTCTTGGAGCTGTGCTGCTCCAGCAGCACCATCCTTACTGCTGCTCCATTTCCAGCTTGATTTATTTCTGCTGCTCTGCAGCTCAGCTGTTTTCATCGCTATTAAGCCAACTCCAGGTTTCTTCTGCACTAGGTCATTAATGCAGTGAGTGCCCGTGGTCCCTGTCCTGCTGGTTCTATGGGCCTGGCACTGCTGTGGGTGGCTCCACTGCCCCGGGCATCATCTGCCCTCAATGATGTCACCTCTCACCCTGTGGTGCATGTCTAGGAGGAGGACCAGACACCTGGCCAGTGGCCCCAGTCCCGGGCTCTGTGCCGGGACCATCCCCTGTGCGACGATGCTGAGCAGCCCTGCAGTC